AACTTCCCTAGTTTCCCCCCTCCGCTCCGTTTCGCTCTATGGACAGATCAGCAAACCTGGACACGGAGGAGCTCAAGGTAGGAAACCCGCCGGGTGCCGCCGTTATGGTTTGGGTTGGATCCCGCGCTGCGCGGGGCGGTGCGGGGCGGTGCGCGGGGGCTCCCGCAGCCGCGGGCGTGGGGGCGCGGAGATGGACGCGGTGGCCCCGCGGTGGGGGGAAGCGCTGGAGGGGCAGCCTTCGGAGCCCAGCGTCATAATGGTGTTAATAATGATGATGATGATGGTGGTGGTGGTGATGATGATGATGGTGCTCCCGGTGATGCACCAGCGCCCGGCGCCGCGGTGATTTCTCCCTGGGAGGAGGAGGCGGCGGACCTGCGGGTTTCCCGGCAGAAGTTGCCTCTGAAGCCTTCCTCGCCTGGGTACCTCCTCTTCTTCTTCCTCCTCCTCCTCCCCTCGCCAGCGGGAGCGAGGGGGAACCCACCCCCGCCACCCTTTCGCCGGTCCCCGGGAGCGGTGGGGGGGTGCGGGGCAGGGGGTTGCGAGTCGGGCCCCGGCTGCGGGGCCGCTGGAACAATAAAACTTTGCATTAGGACGGGGCGAGTGCGGGGATTTCCGCCCCCCTTCCTCCCCCCTTCCCTCCCCGGCCCTGCTCTGTCTCCCTCCCCGCCGAAGGAGCATGCCTGAGGGCGCTGAGCATGCTCCTTTGCGGGGATGGAGAGCCCCGAGTGAAACTGGGCTCTAATAATAATACTATATATATATATACACACCTATCTGTGGGGACACGACACGCCTCGCCGCGGGGGTGGCGGAGGTACCGCTCCACGGTTAAGGAGGCGACGGGAGAGGAAGGGGAAGATGAGCCTTCCTCCCCCCGCCGCAGGCACAGCCTGGCCCCGGGACACCCACTCGGGGCGCCGGCATCCCCGGGAGGGAAGGAGGGCTCTCCCTGGGGAGAGAAACTCCGGTGGGCACCGAAGTGCTGCCGCGGGCTCCTTCCCTGCTCTGCCAAGCCCCATCTGAAAGTACTCCAGCTCATTTGTGTGTGATAAATAGAATATATAGATTCACACTCGCACCCCCCCTCCCAGCCTTGCCGTGAGGGAAGACACACCAGAGCTGTAGCCCTGTTTGGGATTTGGGTGAGATGGAAGGGCAGGACGGTCGGAGAAGGTGGTAAAACAACCCCTCGCTGGAGAACCACTGGTCTTCGTAGCGCTTCAAGCAGTGCCTCAGCTGGAGAGCCCTCCTGCCTCAGCCTTACCAAGGTTTGCAGGAGGCAGCTGGTGTGGGGAAGGCAGGAGCCGAGTCTTCCAATTAAGGGAGGGAAAAAGTTTTAGTTCATAGAAACCTAGAATACAATGTTTTGGGTTGGAAGGGACCTTAAAGATCATAGAGTCCTAGATAGTCCATAGATCCTGCCGTGGGTAGGGATGCTTCCCACTAGACCAGGTTGCTCAAAGCCCCATCCAGCCTGGCCTTGGGCACCTCCAGGGCTGGGTCTTTATTGCAACGGACTCTTTTTAAAGGGTCTTGAAGGAAAATCTGTTTATGCTCAAAGGGGACGGCACTTTGCAAGGGATTGATTGTCCTTAGAGCCCGGGAGGCACGTCCCTCCGTGAGCGGGGCACCCAGCGCGGGGCTGGTGTAGAGAGGAAGGGGGGGCTCCCATTAATCTCTTTAATTAAGGCTAATGTTGCGGCGTGGACAGGCTGAGCGACCTTGAGCGCAGCAGCCGAGCTGGGAAGTGCCGCTGCTCCCAACCAGCAGCACTTGGTTGGGTTTTTTTTTTTCTTTTGTTCTTTTTTTTCCTTCTCATAAGAATGAGAAGAGCTTCAAAAAGAGGCATTTTTGCGGATGCCCTTAGGCTCTCCCGGGTGTCTGGCGGCGGGACGGGCAGCGGGACCCGCAGGGGCTGCTCCCCCCGAGGCCGGCAGGGGGCGGTGCGGGCCGCCCGCAGCCCCGCAGCCCCGCCGCCCGCGCTCTCCCGCCCCGGCCCCGCTCCCTACGGCTCTCACTCGCCGTTCTTGGGCTTTCCCGCAGTGCCGAGCCTCCAGCCGCATTCCCACCGGCAGGAATATCAAGGAGGGCAAAGCTCTCGGGGGTGTGTGGGGGGATAAAGCTGTTCCCGGCTGGTGGCATCGCTGTGGATGGGCAAGATGAAGAGCCGCTCCAAGAGTCGGGAAAAGCTTCCATCAGTTTCAGTGATTTCAGTGCTTCACTCTTCTCCCTTGGGCCAAAACGGTCCCTTGCCCCGGGGGTGACGGGATGGAGTTGGGGTGTACAGGCAGCTGTGGGTCTGAAGGTGTTGAGTGAGCTCAATCCCGAAGGTTTGTGTGAAAAATGTCCATATGGTAGCGGGTGTCAAAGCAGAACTCGCCGGGTATTTAATAAACAGGCTGGGCACTACCATCTTTCCTGATACTGGGTTTCCTCCATTATGACAAATGTATGCCAGCAAGCGCCAAAAAGAAGGATAACTTCCCTACTATGAGTCAAGTGTGCTGGCTCTAATGATAATATGCAATGATGGTACTGAAAATATACGTTATGCAGCATATAAAGCTTTTCTACATCTCAGACCAGGCACTAAATATAGATTTGAAATCTGTGTGTTATTTACTGCACCGATTGAAATGAATTCTGAAGGATATATATAATGGTGTATGATGAATATATGTTTTGAAAGGTCATTTTGTGAAAAACTGAACAGGTATCCTGTGTGCAACACCTGCTAATGAGGGTAGGTGTGCTTCCCCTTACTAGTCCGTGCACGAATTCCTGATGAAACGGATCAGTACTGAAAAAAAGAGGCTACTCTTCCAGAGATTTTGAGCTGTTCTGGTTTTCCTTTGATCTGTCTCATCTTCTGTCTCAGATGCATACGTGAACTTTCCTCTGACTTTTTAATTCACAAGCCTGCGGGGCTTTTGTTTTAAAGAAGTAGCACTGCAAACACAGACTAAGTGATTCTGTTGTAGTTGCACTGTAGTCTTGGCTTTAGTGTTGGGAAGCACTTTCTGTTACCTAAACTATACATTATTTCTTATACCTACATTTTGACATACATGAAACTGTATGGCTGTGTGAGTGTCATGTATTTTATAGGGCTTTGTAATTTGTATCTGGGTCTAAAATACGGCAAACTAACTTGCAAACTTTGCATTTAATGTATTCAAAACTTACGTTGATACATTTTTATTTAATTTTTGAAATTGTCTGAGTTTGGTTTGCAAAGAAGGGTGGAGAGGCCTTTGTGTTTGCTGGACTGCTGTTGACTTGTGATTTTCATTGGCCGTTACAGATAGTGTCCTTCACATTTGTCCAGTCGTTTGACATACGATTCCTTTAACATATGTTGTGACCACTTCTCTGATGTTTGTTTAGTAACTACAATTTGTGTATGGTTTCAGATAGCGAGAGAGAGTATTCCCTGTAGTCTGTGAAAAAACCACTACTTTTCAGGGGGAGAGTTGGTTTGTAATGGAACGTATGATAACAGTGATATTATTAGCATGACGGAATTAAAAACATCCTGGAAACCATTTCTTATTTACTTGAAGATGCTGGTTCAGTGAGAATTTTCTTTTCATTAGAATCCCACAATATTATTTTTACTAGGGTGTTTAAGTGTCTTGAAATTATCACTTTTAATTTGCAAAAAAATGTTAAACACTACAGTATTTCTGAATCATCTTGTAAACACTAGCTGGATTTCGTTATTCAGTTCATGAGAAAATATTTATAGTCTGTTTACAATTTTACATTTCCTGGTGATAGAAAACTACTTAACATCCGCATGAAACTGATCACACATGAGGTTTTGTGGTAATAGTCCTCCAATGCGATTTATGTAGTTTATGAAATGTTTGATAAAGAAATTCAAACAAGGAAATCACAAGAGTTTAAACAAGAAGTTGATTCAGTAGTTTTGTGGTCTTAAACACGTAAACCACTCCACTATTTAAATTAACAGGAGAACTAATACCCAGAAGAATCATGTAAATTTTTATATTTTTTTTTAAAAGAAGGAGCCAGAGAAACTCATGTGTTTGGTGTGGTGTGGGAGGACTTTTGATGAGACTAGGTAGGTGGTTATATTTCTGTTTTAAGTTAGTCATTCCATAATGAAAAGTATAGTACTCAATAACATTCCACATATTCTTATGAGAGTCTACTTCCATTTATTCATGTCTCTGCTGGGGACATGGACATCTTAGTGTGGATACTAAGGGATTTGTCTTTTTAATGCAAAAACTGCTCTCTGCTACCCTGCTCTATCTACGTCCCCCCAAGAAAGAGTCATGGTTTTCTAGACCCCTATCAGCAATACTCGATAAAGACCTTTGCATTCACAGTCAGAGGATTCAGCCTTGAAACCATTCTTTATGAAAGGTCAAGTTGAAATGCTTTTAAAGTAATATACATGCAAATTCCTTTTCTCTGTGTTCCTATTGTGGGATTTCCTCTCTGTCTCCCAATCTGTATAAGGACTAGGCATAGTCCAGGAGGCTGGAGAGAATTCTATGCATAAGATATAGTTGTTCAGCAGACATAGAAAAAAGGTCAAGCTACTGGCAGTGCTCTCAGTATACACTTTAGAAATCATTCCTGTACTATCATTACCAAGAAACAGCACTAACCTGTGGCTGAGCTTTTTGACATTGTACGCTACAGCTTTGCTAAGCTCAACACTCTTTAAATGGAAAATACATCAAAATCTGAAGGCTTGGTTAAAGGGGAAAAAAACATTTTATCTTCCTGTTCTCCATGGCTTTGGGGATAAATATTGTGTTTCCCTTTGCCACAGTATTCTGTACTTTAAAAAAATAGATGTAAGAGATTTACATAATGGTGGGCAACGCGTTTCTTTTTTGCTGAAATGGAAGAGGTCAGTGTGTGATGCTACTCCAAGTTGTTTCCGTAGGTTTGAATGCAAGACTTAGAGACAATGTATAACTTATGCTAGAACCTTTCAAAGATAAATCATCTAATGTGAAGACATATTTGGGAGTACCAGTCATGCTTTCTCACTATGCCCCTTAACCTTTTGGAGATTGATGTTACTTTCCCA